TGTAAGCTAGAAAAGGACGTATGTAACTCCGACGAAACAGTTTGTCACAGCCCCTCGTTTGTTGTCCTCTTCTCCCTCTCTGCCTACGGTTTACTGGGCAGTTCTATTTGACGATATATAGGAGGCTGTAAGGGAGAAAGGGACATATATCTGCACATACATACATCTAATCTCCTGAGTCGGGCCGAGAAACTCCGAGGAAACAGTCTGTCACAGCCCGGCGGTACACGTCCTTTTCACCGTCTCTGTGTATGGTTCACGGGACAGTTCTCAATGACTGTATATATACGCACCGGTATTGTCACAGAGAACTGCCCCGTGAACTGGGCAGAAAGGGGTGAACAGGACGTACAGATCATATTGATGTAAACATATGGAACTCGGCGAAATGGTATGTCACAGCCGTCCATTTTGTGTCCTTTTCCCTGATGTTACCTGCAGTTAGCCATGAAGTCCTCATGTACATCTATAGATAGAAAGGGAGAAAGAAGGGCGTGTATTCACACACCTACAGATGGGAAGCACCACACATAAGGAAGGGGGACAGAGAGAGAGAGAGAGAGGAAAAAGGTGTGCCTTCGTGTGCGAATGGTGGTGGGTAGGAGGGAGAGAGAGAGAGAGAGAGAGGGAAATGTTATGTGCCTTCGTGTGCGAATGGTAGCGGCTTTATGCCCGTGGCACGCTCGTGGTTTTAACCACGAGTACGTTTCCCGGCCATTTCACAGAGACACGCCGTAGATGAAGGCAATTTGGGTGGGATGTACTGAGGTGCCGATTCATGTGAAATCCATCCAGGCTAAATGAGTAGCATGCGAGGCTCGATTTGCCTGGATGGATTTCTGGCGAAGCGGCGTCCGGATGGTGCTGATTCATGTGAAATCCATCCAGGCTAAATGGGTAGCACGCGAGGCTCAATTTGCCTGGATGGATTTCTGGCAAAACGGTGTCCGCGTACATCCTCATGGAGGCGCCTTTATGCACGGCGGGGAAAGTGGCTGGGAAACGTATTTGTGATTTAACAATGAGGATGGTATATGCATGAAATGAAGAACAATTGAGAACCTGCAGGTTCAGTCCTTCAGCGAACCCGATCCTACAATCTCTCCTTCCTTCCCCCACCCCTACCACCCCCGCCGCCTCCTTCCCCTCGCTTTTTGCCTGTCAATTCTGAGTCATGGAGTGTTCTTACCTGCGTGATCATTTTTAATTTGACTGTGAACGAACCGGGCGCCTTTTCGTCATTTGCTGAAGGGAAATTTGTTGTTGTTGTTGTTGTTGTTGTTGTTGTTGTTGTTCTCACTCTCCTGATGAAGAAAATGTGCTTTGTTTTGTTTAAGCTGGAATTGTCGAAGATGAAGAATTGAATGCAAGTGGTCAACTTGTCAATATGGATCTTTTTGTCTGAAAGCGTCTTAAAGGATGAAACATGCTTAGTTGGCTGGTACGCGTTCTGCTGACTGAGATAGAGGAGGGAGTGAATCCACGGTGACAGTGCTGTGCGGCGATCCCTATTGACAATATTGGGATGAACAAGGAGGAGATTTGTTGAGATGTATTTCAGTTATGATGTAGGTTTAGTGT